GGGTCGGGGCTGGTTTGAAGAGGGGGCTGGAGGCTGCCAAGACGTTCTTGTGGGCGCGGAACTTGGTGTCCTCGGCGATGATGGTGACGTCACAGAACTGGCCCCTCAGGCGCTGCTGGTTGAGCTCCAGCAGCAACGAGCGGCAGTGCCCGGCGTCCGACACCTCCAGGACCGGAGCCATCCCCGCGGCGCCCACCTGGGGACACGGGGGTCAGGCTGGGGGGGGCACCTGGGCACCCGGGTCCACCCCACGGGGTCAACTGGGCACCCTGGTCAACTCTAGAGGGTCAACTGGACACCCTGGTCAACTCTAGAGGGTCACCTGGACATCCTGGTCAATTCTAGAGGGTCAACTGGGCACCTTGGTCAACTCTATAGAGGGTCACCTGGACACTTTGGTCAACTCTAGAGGGTCATCTTGGCATCCGAGTCCACCCAACACGGTCAACTGGGCACCTTGGTCAACACTAGAGGGTCAACTGGGCACCCTGATCAACTTCAGAGAGCCAATTGGGCACCTTGGTCAACTCTAGAGGGTCAACTGGGCACCCGAGTCCACCCTACATGGTCAACTGAGCACCCTGGTCAACTCCAGAGGGTCAACTGGACACCCTGGTCAACTCTAGAGGGTCAACTGGGCACCCTGGTCAACTCTAGAGGGTCACCTGGACACCCTGGTCAACTCTAGAGGGTCAACTGGACACCCTGGTCAACTCTAGAGGATCAATTGGGCACCTTGGTCAACTCTAGAGGATCAATTGGGCACCCTGGTCAACTCTAGAGGGTCAACTAGACACCCTGGTCAACTCTAGAGGGTCAACTGGACTCCCTGGTCAACTCTAGAGGATCAATTGGGCACCCTGGTCAACTCTAGAGGCTCAACTAGGCACCCGAGTCCACCCTACACGGTCAACTAGGCACCTTGGTCAACTCTAGAGGGTCAACTGGACACCCTGGTCAACTCTAGAGGGTCAACTGGGCACCTGAGTCCACCCTACACGGTCAACTGGGCACCTTGGTCAACTCTAGAGGGTCAACTGAACACCCTGGTCAACTCTAGGGACTCATAAGTGTGACCCCCAACCTGCCCCACATCCCCCCCCAGCCCTTTGCCATGGTGACAGGGGGGGGGGGGGTGTGGGGTGTAGGCCTGGTGACTATGGTGACAGGGAGGTTGTAGGCCTGGTTGCCAGGGTGACGAGTTCTAGGTGTGGTTGCCATGGTGACTGGGGTTTGGAGGCCTGGTTGCCACAGTGACAGGTTCTAGGTGTGGTTGCCATGGTGACAGGGGGGTTGTAGGCCTGGTTGCCATGGTGATGGGTTCTAGGTGTGGTTGCCATGGCAACGGGGGGGTGTAGGCCTGGTGACTATGGTGACAGGGAGGTTGTAGGCCTGGTTGCCAGTGTGACGAGTTCTAGGTGTGGTTGCCATGGTGACTGGGGTTTGGAGGCCTGGTTGCCACAGTGACAGGTTCTAGGTGTGGTTGCCATGGTGACAGGGGGGTTGTAGGCCTGGTTGCCATGGTGATGGGTTCCAGGTGTGGTTGCCATAGTGACAGGGGGGTTGTAGGCTTGGTTGCCATGGCAACGGGTTCTAGGTGTGGTTAGCATGGCGATGGGTGGGTGTGGGTGTGGTTGCCATGGCGATGGGGGGGTTGCAGGCCTGGTTGCCACGGTGACGGGTTCTAGGTGTGGTTGCCATGGCGACGGGGGGGGTGTAAGCCTGGTTGGCCTGGTGACAGGGTCTTGGT